GTATATGTATATGTATATGTGTATGTGTATGTGTATGTGTATGTGTATGTGTATGTGTATGTGTATGTATGTATGTATGTATATATATACATATATATATATAGATGTATATACACATTACTTCCGCAAAGCACCCTAATAGCAGCTAAGGTGAAGAGACAAGTCGAGGAATAGGAGGACGGCAAGTGAAACACGTGCGTCCATACGTGTTCCTGAGGATCCCCAGGAAAGATGCAGCCGGGACAGGGGTGAGAGCACGGCCGTGTACACTATAGTGTACTTTGTGCCAGCAAAGATCGTGGCCTGGCTGGCGGTCTGGCGGCTCCGCGCTCACGGGCGCCGCTGCGTTCCCGCCTCGTCACCGCCCGTCGTCTGGGCCTGGGTGGCAATCTGGCGGCTCTGTGCTCGCCGTCGCCGCCCCGTCGCCGCCTCGATGGTGCAACGTAGATTGCACCACTTAAATTGCACAACGTAGATTGCACCGCATAGGTTGTTCTATTGCACACGTCGATTGCCCCACATAGGTTGTACGACGTAGACTGCACAACATAGCCTGCACTAACAGGTTGCACCACGTCGTTTGCACCACAAATGTTGCTCCACAACTATGCTACAATATACATTGCACCGCATATACTGAACCACATAGGTTGCACCACGTCGATTGTACCGCATCGACTGCATAACATGTATTGCACCACATAGACTGCGCAACATAGACCGCACCACATATATTGAACCACAGACACTGCGCACCATATACATTTCTCCACAACTATGGCACAACATCTATTGCACCACACATAGTGCACCACCGCACAGACTGCGCCACTTAGTTTGCTCCACAAACATTGCACAACACATATTGCACAAGAGGACACGTTGAACATCCTGCGGCCCCAGAAGAGCAACACGACATAGAGAAACCCACGCTGGTCTTCCTAGAAACAAGCTTACCTGGGCAGAACCTCCCTCCAACACCGCCACCTCCACTGCAATTTTCACAGCTCTGTCCGTTTCCTCATCACCCTTTTCAACCTCGTCCTTGGCTTCGCCCCTGACCCTCGTCTACAGAGTCCTGGCTTTCGCCCTCCTCCGCCACCACCTCCTCCACCTAACCTTCTCCTTGCTTACACCCTCTGCGTTCCCCTCCTGGTGGGATCCGCCTGTGCGGGTGCCCCACGGCCTCCTCCCTCCTCCCTCTGGTGGGGTCCGCCTGTGCGAGACTGAGTGCCGCCACCTCCGCCGCCGCCTCCTCGTCCTGCTCCTCTTCCTTGCCCGTGGTGGGATCCGCCTGTGCGGGTGGTGGGATCCACTTGTGCGGGTGCCCCCGCCCTCTCCTCCTCCTTTCCTGCTTCGGCGACGGCTAGGCCCGAAAGGAAAACTTCCGGCTTCACTGGCCTCCCCCGCCAACGCTGCGCGCTCTGCCACAAAGGGCTCTGCCGCTGGGTGCTCGGTGACACACGAGGCAAAGTCGTCACCAAATGTCTCATCATCTGCGTCGTCCTACCGGGTGCCATCTCGTCCTCTTCTTCGTCCTCCTCATCTTCTTCTTCTTCTCCCTTGGTGGGGCCCGCCTGTGCGGGTGCCCCGAACCCTTCCTCTTCCTCCTCTGCCTCCTCCATCTCCTCCTCCTCCTCCTCTGCTGCCTCCGCGCTTCTGCAGCTCCCCAACGGCGCTGGGTTCCTCGCTGCCGGCCGTCTCCTCTCCTGCGTCCTCGTCCTGTTGGTGCTCCGCCTCCTCGTAAGGGTCGTCCTCGCACTCGCGCAGCCCGTCCCACGCTACCTCCGCGCGTCGTCGCCACTGGCGCTCTTGGTACCTGGCGTCCCAAGAGTGCTCCGCCATCTCCTCCATCCACCGGGGCAATATGTCGTCCTCCTCCGAACTGTCTCCCGCAAGCCAGCCCCAGCGCCTCCGGAGCGCGTCCGCCAAATTGCACCACATAGGTTGCTCCACACATACTGCCCCACACAGGTTGCACAACACAAATTCTCCTTTCTAAAGCAAAGAAGACTCTACCCCCCCCCCCCCTGGACTTAACGCTCCCCCCCGGGATAATATAATTTCATCTATATCCTGCACACTCGTCCATCCTAAATATGAAATCATACCATCCCAGGCAGGCCGGTTTCCCTCCCCCTGAGGTTCCCTTGTAAAAAACTATGCGGTGACATTTTTGGTTCTAACATAACACTTTTTCGCGAATCCCTTGCAAAAAAAGGGACGAAATGCGCACGCGCGCGTCGTCGCGCGCGCATGCCGAAATCCTTCAAAAACCTTCGGTGCCGGAAGGATTTCGCAATCGAGTTTCCCAAAAACATACAAAAGCACAGGGTTTCGCAACACTGACTTGCTAAACAAGCTTCCGCGCGAGCTCTTGCGAAATCTTATGAAAACCATAGGTTTCGCAAGATTTTCACAACATGCTACCAAACGGGCTTCGCGCGCGCGCATGTCGAAATCTGTCGAACGCCCTTGCGCGTGTGCCGTCGCGAGAATCCTCTGCAAAAAATGGAACGAAGTGCAGACGCGCGCGTCGTCGCGGGCGTATGCCGAAAACCTTCAAAACCCATCGGTTTCGGAAGGATTTCAAAATAGTGCGTCCAAAAAACTTACAAAAACCCAAGGTTTCGCAACACGGATTTTCAACAAAAGCGTGCGCGCGCGCTCTTGCGTCGTCGTCGTCGTCGTCGTCGTCGCCGTCCTCCCTCCTCCCGCGTCGTCGTCGTCGTCGTCGCCTACGTCGTCCTCTGTCTTTTCTCGTGTTCGTCGTCGTCGTCCTCTTTGGCGTCGTGGTCGTTTCCGTCGTCGTTGTCGCCGTGGTCGTCCTTCCTCCTCCTCCCACGTCGTCGTCGTCGTCCGTCGTCGGCGTCTCGTCGTCGTCCCTCCTATTTCGTCGCCGTCGTCGTCGTCGTCGTTGTCGTCGTCGTCTTCCCTCCTCCCTCGTCGTTGTCGTCGTCGGCGTCGCCGTCGTTCCTCCTTCGTCGTCGTTCGCGTCCTCGCCGTCCTCCCTCCTCCCTCGTCGTTGTCGTCGTTGTCGTCGTTGTCGCCGTCGTCGTCCTTCCTCCTCCCTCGTCGTCGCATTCGTTGGCGTCGTCGTCGTCGTCGTCGTCGTCATCGTCTTCGTCGTCGTCGGCGTCGGTGTCGTCGTCGAAGTCGTCGGAGATGTCGTCGGTGTCGTCCTATTCGTTGTCGTCGGTGTCGTCGTAGTAGGTCTTAACAGGTTTTGCAAACCAAGTTGCGGGTGGGTGGGTGGGATGTTTGCACGAGCAGTGGAGAGGACAGCTTCAAGACAGTCAAAGTGGGTACCAACACATCGACTGCACCACTTATTTGCGCAACGAATTTGGCTCCATACGAATTGCACACGGTAGATTACACAACGTGTATTGCACCACATAAACTCTCCTTTTCCAAAACAATGTTGGAATCTACCTCCCCCTCCCGCGGACTTAACGAACCGCCTTTTCGTATTGCAATTTGCATATGGTTCTTCCCCATCGTCCACGCTATATACGAATTCGTATCAGCCCAAGCAATCCCTTATAGGTCCCTGCTTCATCCCGTGCAACACATGTATACATCTGTATATGTATGCGCGCGCACTCGCTTATCCCGAACCATAAGTTTTTGAACACATCCTTGCAAACCGTGAGACGACATTCGCACGCGCGCGTCGTTGCGCTCGCATGCCGACATCATTCGAACCTCGAGGTTGCGTGAAGATGTCATAGCCGAATGTCCAAGACGCTTAGAACACACACCAGTGTCGCAACGACAGTCTTAATATATAGCATGCGCTCGGGCTCCTACGGATTCTTTGCAAACGACGTGTAATGTTTCATCATGTCACATCTCATGCTGCCAAATAAATGCCTCGCGCGCGCATGTCGAAATCGCTCGAACGCCCTGGCGCGCGTGCTGTCGCATGAGCCCGTTGCAACAAGCGGGACGACGTGCACGCGCGCGCGTCATCGCTCGCGCATGCCGATACCTTTCAAAGCCGCTAGGTGTCGTAAAAGATTTCCAAATCAATTGTTCCGCAACAAAAACGTGGCTTTGCAACACCAGGTCCTCGACAAAAAGGCAGCGCGCAATTTCTTGTGAGTTCATTTTTTCCCGAATGAGCATCAACGCCGACCAGACGTGTTTCTCGCGCGCGCATGTCGACATCATTCGAACGCTTTTGCGCGCGTGCTGGAGGTGGGGGGCACGATCCCTGTCAAATGCTACCTTGCGGGCCACACTCGCCGCGCGCGTCGGCCGCACGCGCATGTCGAACTCCTGTCAAAACCTTCACCACCGACGCGGGGACATCGTCATCGTCATCGGCGTGATCAGCATCGGCGCCGTCAGTGGCTTTGGCGTCGTCGTCGTCATCATCGTCACCAACATCGCTACTATCATCACCGTGTCTACAGTTGTCGACGTCGCCATGATACCGCGCCCGTCCAACTCACCGTCTCGCATTGAAGTGCCCGCTGGGTGGTGCCTAGCGGTCAACGCCACCGCGGCCGCGTCGGTCGCGCCGAACTAGCTGTCCGCTGTGCGTGCGGGCATGCGCGGGCTAACTCGGCCGCAGAGATGCACCAGCCAACACCAACCACTCATCGCAATCGCCGCCACTTGGGTTTTGCAAACAAAGTTGCGGGTGGGTGCGTGGGATGATTGCGCGAGCAGTGGAGCTGGCAACCCCAAACTTTTCAGAATTAATTGCACCACGTGGATGGCTCCACCTACTGCACAAGTGTACGTGTAGAAGCATACTGTTTGGGGTCCACGCTGGCTAACATCTACCGCTGTAAGAACCCTCTATTGAAACGCTACACGAGAACAAGTGGAGAGCGTGTTTGTCCGCGAGCTCCTAAGACCGGTTGGCGGACGACGGCGGCGACGAGGACAATGACGACGACGAGACCGAAACCGAGGATAAAACGAACGAAAACAACGGCTCCGATGCCGCCGCCGACGCCGACGCCGCCGCCGATAACGACGACGAGGGGGCATGGAGGGGGCGCGGCACGGCCGTCGCCAGCAAGAGCAAGCGAAACTTCTTTTCCTACGCTCGGTGGCACCTTCGTCCGCGCACCGCAGCCCGGTGCCAGGTCTGACGCCCCCCGCTCCTGCTCGCCAAAGGGCCCCGCGCACCCCTGCAGCTGCTGCTGTTTCTGCTTCTGATCCGCCTTGCCCTCCTCCTGCACTTGCTTCTTCGTTCCTTGAGCAGGGGCCGACCACCCTGGCATTTCGAGAGACCTACTACGACATCCTCGTAGAGCAAAAGAAGGTAGAAGCAACAAAAACATAACTCTTGCAGCCAGTAGGGTTCGAAAAGCACGTCGTGCAAACCGCAAGAAGATCCTGGCGAGTCAGGACGCCTCGCCAGTGCTTGAGGTTCCTCCTCCCCGCCCTGCACGGTTTCCCCCGGGGCCGTAGGCGACCCGAAGCGGAGGAGGAGGAGGAGGAGGAGGAGGAGGAGGAGGAGGAGAAGGAGGAGATTGGCTCGGTGAGTTTGGCACCCGATGAGTTTGGCACTGGATGCTGGATGAATTTGGCTCGGATGTTGTCGAAACTGACGTTGGGAGCTCGCTGCTTCCTCCAAAGCTACTGTGAAGGGCTTCTTGGGTGCGTTTTGGGCAGAAGAGAAGTGAGAATTTGCTTGACTACAAAACGGTTTGACAAATATTGAGTTGCTTTTGAGTTTTTGTTGGGTGTTTTTTTAATGCGGCGTTCGAGGTTCGCTGCTTCTCGAGGTTCTTCTGGAGGGCTTGTCGGGGGTATCCTGGGGCAGATGGGTGGCGAGAATTTGCTTGGCTACAAGACGGTTTGTAATCAAGCAAATTTTGATGTACTTTCGAGGTATAATTGGACGCTTTGAAGGTCACGTTCTTGGGGACTTCCTGGGGCCTGGGGCAGATGGGGGGCTGGAATTTGAGTTAGGACACTGGATGAATCAGGACACCGGCGGATGAGTTAGGGCACGGGATGAGGTAGTCACTGGATGAATTTCGCACCAGATGAGTTCGGGCACCGGATGAGTTAGGGCACCAGATGATTTCGGCGCTGGATAAGGTAGGGAATCGGGTGAGTGAGTCACCAGATGAGTTAGGCACCAGATGAGTTAGTGCATCGTATGAGCTAGTCTCCAAACAGGCCTGGTTAACTTGAGGTAGGGCGCCGGATGATTTTGGCACTGGAGGAGTAAGGGCTCTGGATGAGTTTGGCACCCGATGAGTTAGGCACTGGATGCTGGATGAGTTAAGCTCGGATGTAGCCAAGCAAATGTTGAGTTGCTTTTGAGTTCTTGTTGGGTGTTTTTTAAGGCGACGTTCGGGGTTCGCTGCTTCTCGAGGTCCTTCTGGAGGGCTTGTCGGGGGTATCCTGGGGCAGATGGGTGTCTAGAATTTGCTTGACTACAAAACGATTTGTAGTCAAGCAAATTTTGAGCTACGTTCGAGGTATTGTTGGACGCTTTGAAGGTCACGTTCTGGGGGGCTTCCTGGGGCCTGGGGCAAATGGGGGGCTGGAATTTGCTTGACTACAAACGGCTTGTAGTCAAGAAAGTTTGGAGCTATTTTTGGGTCATCAATGGTTGTCTTTCCTGGCGACGTTGGAAGCTCCTTGCTTGTGGAGGGTTCCGTGGGGGTATCCTGGGGGAGATGGGAGGTGACAATTTTCTCAACTGCAAGTGGGTTTGAAATCAAGCATTTTCGGACACGTCCGTCAAGATGCTGGATGAGTGAGGTAGGATTTAGAGTATCCGATGAGAGATGGAGTGGATGAATTCGGCACCAGATGAGTAAGGGTACTGGACGAATTACAGGGCAGATGAGTTAGGATACCGCAAGAGGTAGGGCATCGGATGAGGTAGGGCACTGGATGAGCTAGTAACCGGATGAGTTTGCCACCAGATGGGTTAGGGCACTGGAAACTGTGAGGCACCGGATGAATGAGGAGACTGGGTGAGTTAGGGTATCGGATGAGTTAGGCAACCAGATGAATAGTGAAAGGATGAGCTTAGCACCGGAAGAGTCAGGCACAAGGCACTGGATGAACTTGTCATCGGGTGAACTGGATAAATTTGGCACCGGATGAGTTAGGGCATCCGATGAATTAGCTACTGGATGAGTTTGACCGGACGAGGTAAGCCTGAGGGATTGAGCTAGGCACTGGGGTGAGTCAGGTACCGGATTAGCTTGACCAGATAAATTAATCACCGGATGCATTAGACTGGATGAGATAGACATCGGATGAATTACACTGGATGAGTTTCACACCGGATGAGTTAGGCGCCGATGGAGTTAGGCATCGGATGAGTTTGACCAGATGAATTCGACTGGATGAATTAAGCACTGGATAAATCAGCCCGGTTTCAGACGGCCCTACAGGCCCCCAAGACCGCTCCAAGATGTGGCCCAAGAGCCCTCCAAGAGGGCCGAAAATCCGAGCCTTCCGCACAGGAGGCCCCACGAGGCCCCCAAGAGGCCCCAAGAGGCCCCCAAGAGATCCAAAGCAGGCCCCAAGAGGCCCCCCAAGTTCCCAAGAGGCGTCCAGGCTTCATATCTACAACGCAGGCACGGTGGCGAGATGGGCCGACGGCCATTAGTACTGCAAACGCGGGACGGCATAACGAGAGATAGAGAGAGAATGATGGAGAAACTGGCCCCAACAGAGAAATACATGACTATAAAGACAGACATACATATCGATACACATAGACACACTCACATACGTACACACGTGTCTATGTGCGCATAAGTCTCGGAATGTCGGTACACTTACCGATGCACATCTAGAAACATACACACACATGTAAAGATATACATGCTGGTCGACATATCGTATAGCATACATGTACATATTTATACACACGCACATCTACATCTACGCACATCATACGCGAGATGGACGGGCATACCCATATATATATATATATACGCATCTATGATCAATCGTTCAGGACATAGAAGACAACCAACAGCATGATGGCATATGGTGACACATGTAAGCCACAATGAAGAACAACTGTAGCGGCACATAGATACAATTGACGGGTACATGCAACTTATTTTCTAATATACGCACATAGATGAGGATGACAGGGGATGTGGAGAGAAGAGAGAGGGAGGGTGGGATGGATGGCAGCAAAGTGACGATCCAATGGGAAAGAAAACCAACTCGGGGAGGAACGGTGCGCATGGGCAACGCAATGCACTGTGGCGTTCCGTTATCGCATCGGGCTGCGTAAAGCTCAGTCGTTCTTGTCGCAATGAGGGGAGCCCATTCTCCTCGCGGGCGCAATCTGCCAATCACATCAGTACACGTAGCTATCCCATTCTTCCCTCATCCAGCTCCTCTTTCCTACAGTTTCCCCTTATCTTTTATGTTCCAGCACAGCTGGTCGGAGAAGGAGGAGGACGGAAGCTGAGGGGACGAAGAACGGATATACCAATTCACGAGCGGACGAAGAGCGAACAGTCTACAGCTTCCCCGTCTCTTCCCCTTGGCTGTCAGCGGATAGGAGGTGCAAGGGCTGACGAATGATGTACAAGGTCGGGGCGTCTATCTACAAAAAGCCATGGCCCAGCTAAAATTGCACTACCTGCCCCAAAAACGCTGGCCCTCGGCTGCTCATCCCCTCGCTCGCGCTGGAACCGTTCGCGAGACTTCCGAAGATCGAAATCGAAACCGAGAGCCGGAATCGTCCCACTCCTCCCCGTCCCTCCTGCCAACACTCCTCTCTTTCCCCTCCTCCTCTGCCCCTCTTCACCGTCGTCGTCGTCCTCCTCCTCCTTCTCGTCGTCCTCCTCCTCCTCCTCTTTTCATTCTGCTCCTCTTCCCTCAGTGCCTGGCATGCCCGAGTCATACATGGGACCCCTCAGGAAGCCCGAACAGAGTTTGGGGAGGAGGGGGAGAGGGATGTTGAGGATGGATGAGCGGCGCAAGAAGAGGAGGAGGAGAAGTAGGAGGAGGAAGAGGAGGATGAGGATAAGGATGAGGATGAGGATGAGGATGGTGATGATGCTGATGCTGATGCTGATGCTGATGATGATGCCGATGATGATGCTGATGATGATGATGAGGAGGAGTAGGGAGCCCAGGGATGCAGCGTGGGAGCAGCAGCAACAACAGCAGCACGAGCCGCAGCGCCGGCAGCGGGAAGCGCCGCCCGAAGATCTTCGGCTCCTCGAGTTCCTGTACTTGGTGCCCGGGCCCCACACCTGGGGAAGCCAAAAGGTACTGATACCGCTGCTCCCCGGACCTCTCCCAGGGTGCCCTCTGACCAGGATTGAGAGGCGAGTCCAACGGTGGCGACGAGGGCCTCCCAAAAGGCTCCCCAAAGGGGAGAACGGGGGAAAGGTAGTGGTATGGTACCGCGTTCGGCTGTATGTAAGAGTGACCCTGGGCCAGAGTGACCTTTGGTGCGCGGCTTTTCGGGGGCCGCGGGGGGACCAGACACAGGCGCGCAAGGCGCTACTATCGTATCGCGCTCGGCGATCGGGAGACCCCAGTGGGCCCGCACCAAAGGTCACTCCGGCGAACGGTCACTCTTACGCGTAGTCGACTTGTCATCCGCTGGGCACCAGCCAGTAGCGCCGGCTGAAGCCACTGCGCTTCCCCGTGCCCCAGCCCCACACGGGCCGCCTCAGCGGGCCACGGGCGCGCTTCCGCGCGCGGAGCGCGCGCAGCGGCTGCGGCCGCGGCGCGCAGTCTCCAGGCGGGCGGCGGCGCTGCGTGTGCTGCGGCGGAATCGGGGGCCGCAGCCGCCGCGGCATGCCGCCGAGGAGGGTCGAGGATCGCCAAGGATCGAGCAGGAACATCGAGGAAATTCTGTTTTTTTCCTTTGCTTTGTTTTGTTCGCAACCATCCTGTGGTGTTGGGTCCTCGTTTTGAAGAGACAGCGCCCCGCGTCTCCTTCCTTCCTTCCTTCCTTCCTTCCTTCCTTCCTTCCTTCCTTCCTTCCTTCCTCCTCCCCTCTCCTCCTCCCCACCCCCCCTCCTTCTACTCGCATGCGGTTCCTCCACCCAGTGCAGCGTTTCGTAGCCCCATAGGGAGCTCCACCGAAGGCCCCAGTGGGGGTGCCCGCATGCGGTTCCCCCACCCAGGGCAGCGTTTCGTAGCCCCATAGGGAGCTCCACCGAAGGCCCCAGTGGGGGTGCCCGCATGCGGTTCCCCCACCCAGGGCAGCGTTTCGTGGTCCCATAGGGAGCTCCACCGTAGGCCCCAGTGGGGGTGCCCGCATGCGGTTCCCCCACCCAGGGCAGCGTTTCGTAGCCCTATAGGGAGCCCCACCGTAGGCCCCAGTGGGGGTGCCCGCATGCGGTTCCCCCACCCAGGGCAGCGTTTCGTAGCCCCATAGGGAGCTCCACCGAAAGGCCCAGTGGGGGTGCCCGCATGCGGTTCCCCTACCCAGGGCAGCGTTTTAGGAAGCTTCACCGAATGCCGGCCCGCCCCAGTGGGGGTGCCCGCATGCGGTTCCCCCACCCAGGGCGGCGCTTCGTAGCCCCATAAGGAGCTCCACCGTAGGCCCCAGTGGGGGTGCCCGCATGCGGTTCCCCCATCCAGGGCAGCGTTTCGTAGCCCCATAGGGAGCCCCACCGAAAGCCCCAGTGGGGGTGCCCGCATGCGGTTCCCCCACCCAGGGCAGCGTTTCGTGGCCCCATCGGGAGCTCCACCGAAGGCCCCAGTGGGGGTACCCGCATGCGGTTCCCCCACCCAGGGCGGCGTTTCGTAGCCCCATAGGGAGCTCCACCGAAGGCCCCAGTGGGGGGTGCCCGCATGCGGTTTTCTCACCCAGGGCAGCGTTTCGTGGCCCCATAAGGAGCTCCACCGAATGCCTTAGTGTGGGTGCGCGCATGCGGTTCCCCCACCCAAGGCAGCGTTTCGTAGCCCCATAGGGAGCTCCACCGAAGGCCCCACGGGGGGTGCCCGCATGCGGTTCCCCCACCCAGGGCAGCGTTTCGTAGCCCCATAGGGAGCTCCACCGAAGGCCCCAGTGGGGGTGCCCGCATGCGCGTCTCCCCTACCCAGAGGTAGCGCCACCGAAAACGACATTCATATTTGTGGTATGCACAACGGCATATGGTTGGGTCCTTCGCCAGGCGAATTCCCAACCATCCTGTGGTTTTGGGCCATCGTTTTGAATAGACAGCGCCCCGCGTCTCCTTTCTTCTTTCCTCCTCCCCCCTCCTCCCCACCCCCCCATCCCAGTGCAGCGTTTCGTAGCCCCATAGGGAGCTCCACCGAAGGCCCGAGTGGGAGTGCCCGCATGCGGTTCCCCCACCCAGGGCAACGCTTCGTGGCCCCATAAGGAGCTCCATTGTAGGCCCCAATGGGGGTGCCCGCATGCGGTTCCCCCACCCAGTGCAGCGTTTCGTGGCCCCATAGGGAGCTCCACCGAAGGCCCCAGTGGGGGTGCCCGCATGCGGTTCCCCCACCCAGGGCAGCGTTTCGTAGCCCCATAGGGAGCTCCTCCGAAGCCCCCAGTGGGGGCCCGCATGCGGTTCCCATACCCATGGCAACGTTTCGTGGCCCCATAGGGAGCTCCACCGGAGGCCCCAATGGGGGTGCCCGCATGCGGTTCCCCCACCCAGGGCAACGTTCCGTGGCCCCATAAGGAGCTCCACTGTATACCCCACATGGGGGTGCCCGCATGCGGTTTCCCCACCCAGTGCAGCGTTTCGTAGCCCCATCGGGAGCTCCACCGAAGTCCCCAGTGGTGGTGCCAGCATGCGGTTCCCCCACCCAGGGCAGCGTTTCGTGGCCCCACAGGGAGCTCCACCGAAGGTCCCAGTGGGGGTGCCCGCATGCGGTTCCCCCCCAGCGCAGCGTTTCGTAGCCCCATAGGGAGCTCCACAGAAAGTCCCAGTGGGGGTGCCCGCATGCGGTTCCCCCACCCAGGGCAGCGTTTCGTGGTCCTACAGGGAGCTCCACCGAAGGTCCCAGTGGGGGTGCCCGCATGCGGTTCCCCCGCCCAGGGCAGCGTTTCGTGGCCCCACATGGAGCTCCACCGAAGGCCCCAGTGGGGGTGCCCGCATGCGGTTCCCCCACCCAAGGCAACGTTTCGTGGCCCTACAGGGAGCTCCACCGTAGGCCCCAGTGGGGGTGCCCGCATGCGGTTCCCCCACTCAGGGCAGCGTTTCGTAGCCCCATAGGGAGCTCCACCGACGGCCCCAGTGGGGGTGCCCGCATGCGGTTCCCCCACCACCACCACTGTGGCAGGCCCCTCACACAGTTCGTGGCCCCATAAGGAGCTCCACCGAGGACGATATTCACAACTGCGGTACTCACAACTGCATATGGTTGGGTCCGTCGCCAAACTATTTGTTTTTGACCAGTGCTGCCTCCGTAGGAGTGGAGCACATCTCGAAGCGAGCATGGCTGGGATCTGGTGGCCGCACCGCTTGAGGGTCATCAGGCACGTGAGCGTGCCAGGCAGGAGATGCGGAGAGTGGGAGAAAGAGTTAAAGAAGGAGGAGGAGGAGCCTCGAAAGGGGCCGCAAGAGCTCTGACATGGGCGCCCCATCCAACGGAACATCGAAGAGGAGGAGGAGGAGGAGGACGAGGAGGAAGATGACAAGGAAGATGATCGAGAAGGCAGAAGAGGATCGATGATCGAGTGGGAGGAACGCCCGCTCCACGAAGCTCGCGCACCAGCTCCCGCGCTAAACAAAACTGTTTGTGGGTGTCTCGGCGGGGCTTTGGCAGGCCCTGCGAGGAGGGCGAGGCCTCGGATGGGGTCATGCTGCGGTGGTCGGCTCCCTCCCTCCCTCCCTCCCTCCCTCCCTCCCCCTGCCCCTCCTCCTCCTCCTCCTCCTCCTCCTCCTCCTCCTCCTCTTCTCTTCTCCTCCTCCTCCTCCTCCTCCTCCTCCTCCTCCCTCCTCCTCCTTCCTCCTCCTCCTCCGCCTCCTCCTCTCCTCCTCCTCCTCCTCCTCCTCCTCCTCCTCTCTTCCTCCTCCTCTCCTCCTCCTCTCCCTCCTCCTCCTCCTCCTCCTCTCTTCCTCCTCCTCCTCTCTTCCTCCTCCTCCTCCTCCTCCTCCTCCTGCGGCGGTCGGTCGGATCGGGGTGATCGGCGCGGCCGAAAGGGCGGCGCGGCCCGACCGCGGCGGAGTGTCGTGGTCGCCGAGCCGCTGCGGCCCCGACCCGCCACGACGGCAGTAGACGATGCGCGTGTAGAAGGGCACGTGCTTCTTCGTGTCCAGCAGGAACTCCAGCTCGGCGCGCGCCTGGAGCTGGCAAGGGAGACCCTCGTCACGCGCGGCGGCGCGAGCTTCCTCCTCTCCCTCAGCGCGTTCCTCCTCCTCCTCCTCCTTCTTCTTCTTCTTCTTCTTCTTCTTCTTATTTTCTTTGTCCTTCTTCTTTTTCTTATCATATTTTCCTTCTTATTAGTTTTCTTCTCTTCCCTCCTCCTCCTCCTCCTGAAAATGTGGCAGGAGACTTTTTCCCTGCAGACGAATGCAACTTGAGCCAGAGGGCGAAGTGTCTGGATAAAAGGGCTTGCAGAAGACTGCTCTGATGAGTGCTATATTGCTGTACGTGCATCTGGCCACCTATTCGGAACGCTATAATTACACCCCCAACGGCTGATAAAGCGAATGTGAAGACGGGTGAAGCACAACAGGAGCCGGCAAATGACTCTGGCCCACCAGGAGGGGCGTCATTCCTGTGAGGGCCGCCGCTTTCGAAGTTCAGACGGCCTGGCCCACACCTGGCCCCCAGAGCCGGCAGAGCCCTCCAGCCCGCTGGGAGGAGCGCCATCGGCGTGAGGGCCGCCACTTTTCGAAGCCCAAAGCGCCCAGCTCACAGCTGGCCCACAGAGCCGGCAGAGGCCTCTGGCCCTCCTCCTCCACCTCCTCCTCCTCCTCCTCTCTTCCTCCTCCTCCTCCTCCTCCTCCCCCTCCTCCTCCTCCTCCTCCGCCTCCTCCTCCTCCTCCGAGGGGCGCCATGCCTTTGAGGGTCGCCGCTCTTCGAAGGCCAAAGCGCCCTGCGCTCACAGCAGGGCCCACAGGAGCTGGCAGGGCCCTCCAGCCCGCTAGGAAGAGCGCAGCCCTTGGGAGGGTCGCCACCTGTCGATGGCCAAGGTGCCCAGCCCACAGCTGGCCCACAGAGCCGGCAGAGGACTCCAGCCCACCAGGAGGGGCGTCATCCCTCGTTTTTTTGTTGTTGGTCTTGTTTATTTGTTTATTTTCTGCTTTGTTCCCCAATGTTTCGTGGGGTTCTGGTTTTCATCCCAGCCGCGTCGCACACGCGACCCTCACTCACCTCCGCTCCTCCTCCTTCTCCTTCTCACACAGCGCAGCACAGCTCAGCACAGCACTGATCAGCACAGCACAGCACAGCAGAGCACGACGGTCGTCCAGGGCACAGCAGGCGTGGGGTTTTGTCGACACCAAAGGGGGTGCGCAGGGGGTGGTCCCTGAGGGCGGCGTCTATGCGGGGGCCATGGCGCAGGGCATAGCAGGCGTGGTACTTTCTCGACACCATAGGGGGTGCGCAGGGGGTGGTCCCCGAGCGCGGGCCATGGCGCAGGGCATAGCAGGCGTGGCATCTTCTCGGCACCATAGGGGGTGCGCAGGGGGTGGTCCCCGAGCGCGGCGTCTATGCGGGCCATGGCGCAGGAGCATAGCAGGCGTGGTACATTCTCGGCACCATAGGGGGTGCGCAGGGGGTGGTCCCCGAGCGCGGCGTCTATGCGGGCCATGGCGCAGGGCATACCAGGCGTGGCCCTTTCCCGACGCCAGAGGGGGTGCGCAGGGAGTGGCCCCCGAGCGCGGCGTCTATGCTGGCCATGGCGCAGGGCATAGCAGGCGTGGCACTTTCTCGACGCCAGAGGTGGTGCGCAGGGGGTGGTCCCCGAGCGCGGCGTCTATGCGGGCCATGGCGCAGAGCATAGCAAGCGTGGCACTTCCTCGACGCCAGAGGTGGTGCGCAAGGAGTGGTCCCTGAGCGCGGCCGCTATCCGTGCGGGTCGTCCAGGGCATAGCAAGGGTGGCATTTTCCCGACACCAAAGGGGGTGCGCAAGGGGTGGTCCCTGAGCGCGGTCGCTATCCGTGCCGGTCGTCCAGGGCATAGCAGGAGTGGCGCTGTCCCGACACCATAGGGGGTGCGCAAGGGGTGGTCCCTGAGCGCGGTCGCTATCCGTGCCGGTCGTCCAGGGCGCTGCTGTCCGTGACGGTCGTCCAGGGCATAGCAGGCGTGGCATATTCTCGACACCACAAGGGGTGCGCGCGGGGTGGTCCTTGAGCGCGGCCTCTATCCGTGACGGTGGTGCTCAGGGCACATCGGAACGCAAGTTTGCTATCCGTGCTGGTCGTGCTCAGGGCACAGGGGAACGCTTGCGGTGCATTCGCGGCATATTCTCATAACCTTAGGGGGCCCGCAGGTGGTGGTCTCTGAGCGCGGTCGCTATCCGAGCCGGTCGTCCAGAGCGCAACAGGCGTGGCACTTTCTCGACACATAGGGGGTGCGCAGGGAATGGTCACCAACATCATTCTCACATGCTTCACTTCAGCGATCATCACTGCAGCCATAATATGAGTATGTGGGGTTCCTCGGTAGCGTAATTCGTTATCAATTTTTCTTTCCAAGCTTAGTACATATATATATAACATATATATATGTATGTATGTATATATATATATATATGTATAGACGAACCGTTTTTATTTAAAAAACTATCCTGCGTATGGGGCGCCCACGGCAGGGCACCAGCCACCGAAAACCCGAGCAGCCCGGCCAACGCACCAGGGGGGGGGGGCGCCCACGAGGCGCCCAGGACCGGGCACCACGGCGGAAGGCCCAGAGATCTGGCCCGACCGATGGAAGGGCAGGGCGGACCCAGCGGTGCACGCGGTGTCTGGGCATCGCTCGGACGTCCATTCCCTGTGCAATTTTCGGTTTCGTGCGTGGTTTTTTCGCAAAATGATCAAGGATGCTCCTCGATGGTCCTCGCCGAAGGAAAAATGCACACGTCCGAGCGATGCCAAGGTGTTGGGGAAGCGGTGGTGCGGATGGAAGGCCGCCTCCCTTCCGGAAGGTGGCGCTCGCCAGGACTCTCCGTCGGTCCTGTGCGCAGGGGTCCGGGTCTGCGCAGCAGTCGACGAGACGTGTGGAGGGCAGCTCCTTCTCGAGGAGGGGCCGTCCCTGGACACCTCCAGCAACCTGTCCTCCCCGCTGTGTCGCATTCCTTCTACCTCGAGTGGTGGGGGGGAGCGCCTTTCCAAACCGAAACTCCCGCCTGCATCGCGGGCCCATGGGCCCCAGTCTTTCAATGGGGGGCCCTTCGCGCAGTGGAAGAGACGGCTCGTGAGGACTTCGGGGACGCGGGATGGGAGGGTGTGCTGCAGCATCGTTGATGCATCCTGGCTTTACTCTGGTCCTGCTCCTCTCTCCTCCTCCACAGATAATCATCAGGAATGCTGCTGCTCTCCTCTCTCCCCTGTTCCTCTCCGAGCGGAGCCCTTTTCTCCCGCATATTGTTTTTGTAGCGCGGCAGCTCGTACTCTTCAATTGCCAAGCTGGTACTCCCGCTGCAACGTTGGCCTCATTTCAAGGTCAGCGCTTTGCTCTGGGCGTTCCCACTGGCGCTCTCGGCCCAGCGCGGGCCACATGCAAGATCCGAGTCCTTCCTCCTCGTCGTCGCCCCTCTTTCCCCCTCCGCCGCCTTCCCCTGATCCTCCTGCTCCTCACGCTCCTCCTGCTCCTGCTTCTACCGCTTCTGCCGAGCCTCATCCCCTTCCTTCTTCCTCCTGCTCCTCCTCCGCCTCTTCCCCCTGCGTATCCTCCTGCGCATCCGACACTTCCTCTTCTTCTTCTTCTCCTCCTCCTCCTCCTCCTCCTCCTCCTCCTCTTCCCCTTGTGCACAGCTCCCATGTCTGACTGCGCATCACACGGTGGGGCCATACAGGGGGCTCCAGTTGCACTATGACAACCGTCGGCGGATAGAGAACAAATCAACGCAGTGGAAAGGGATGGCTAGGAGGGGTAGCATGCCATGTATGGTGTGAGCGCATTAAGTTTGGCATTAAGTTTGCCCTCCTTCCCCTCCGCCCCCTCCTCCTCCTCCTCCTCCTGTTTCTCTTCCTCCTCGTCCTCCCCTCCTCTTCCTTCTCCTCCTCCTTCATTTTCTCCTCCTCCTCCTCCTCCTCTCCTCCTCCTCCTCCTCCTCCTCCTCCTCCTTTTCCTCGCGCGCTTCTTTTTGCGGCATCCCCGCGGAACGGCGCTCGAAGCCGCCCAGCTCGGAGCCGAGGGGGTGGCTTTGCCCCGCCCTGGGCCCAGGTCGCAGCGAAAAGGCCGACGTCCTCCCGTCCCCCCCCCCGCGAGGCGAGCTCGGTCCGAGCCGAAACAAGTGGTGGTGTATCGGAAGTTGCGGGGTGAAATCGCAGTGGAACGGACACCCCCCCCCAGCGGGGTATCGATTTTGGCTTCGTGTTCGTGTGGTGCGCGCGGGCGAGGCGAAGCTGCGTGGGCGCGCGAGAGGAATTACCCCGCCGTCGTTAGGGCCATTCGGGTGCAATGGGCCACCCCTCCGCCCCCGGTGGGCGCGCGGTGGCCCGGGGTGTCCCGCTGGGGTGTCCTGTGGTGTCCCGTTGGTGCCCCAATGGTGTCCCCTCGGCGGTGGGCGGGCGGTGGCCCGGGGTGTACCGCTTTGGTAGCGATGGTGGAGTCGACCGTGAGATCGATAATGATATCGCTAGAGTGGGACGGGTAGTGACATCAAAAATGAGATCGACAATGAGGCTGAACATTGAGGTTGGTTGTGAGCTGGTTGTGGTACGACAGTGATATCGATCGTGAGATCGATCGGATAATCGATGGTGATATCGGTCGTAAGATCGATAGTGAGATCGAATACAATCGATCGAATGTGATCGATCATGTGATCTCGGTGATAAATCGATCGTGAAACCGATCATGAAATCGACCTCGGCATCGATTTTGAGATGGGTTCCGTGGGTTATGTTGGTTCTCGTTCTAGCCACCTCTCATCGCATTGCAAACACCGTGGCCAATGCGATCAATATCGCGGCCACAGCGACAATTGCTACCGCAGCTGAGTGGCCCAAGCAAGCCAGACGCACGATCCTTTCTTCCGCCTCTTCGCCATGTCTGCGGGTGGCGCGCGCCTGTTCGCCAGTGCCCTCTCACCGCAACTCTCTCCCAACGATCTGTACGTATGTATATATGTATGTACGTATATGTTCAGGCATAACTATATGTATATGTATATGTATGTAAGTATGATTGAAGATACATATGATTGTACGTATGTGTA